GAGAGAGAAGCCTGTGGTAGTGTGGAAGCAGCAGAGACAGGGGCTGCCCTCCCAGCCTTGGGAGAAGACCCCTTCTAGGTGGGCACAGCACCAAAAAAGTACAAACCTTGCTTTTTTCTTGTCACCCAATACCCAAGGACGGAAGTTTCCCCATCCACATCCTGCTGCAGATTTTTCTCTCCACGTGGTCCTGTCCTCACTGACTCTGACCCAACTACCAGCAGCTCTGCCAGCTGCCTGCTGGGCAGAGTAGTTTTGATGTAACAAAATCTTTGCTTAAATCCATTATTCTAAGCCAAAACATTTGAAAGAATCTCAGCAGCTCTTTTCTGAAAAAGACCTGAGCTCCAAAACTCAGGTCTCTTACCTCTTCCTAGCTAGTGCCCTGGACTGTTTGAGTCAGAAACAGAATTTTCTGTGCCCCTTCCCACAACAATTCAGTGAAGATCTGAAGTTTGAAGGTCTTAAAGCAAACCCTGCTGCGCAGCAGAACCGGAGGTGTACACTAAGCCCTGTCGCTTAGCCCAAGCGCTTCCCCTGAGCTCAAGCACACTGACCCGAGCGCACAGGCGAGCCAGCGCTCTCCAGCTGACTCAGGCTCCTTTCTGCCCTCAAAGGTCACAAGATTTTCTGCCTACAAGCATTCCCCGTGCATGCCAGGCTTTAATGCCTTCAAAATTGGCTTTCGTGGCAGAGCTGGGTATTGGCATGTTAAAAAAAAAGAGAACAAAGAGAAAAAAACCCAAGCCGATAGTGTCTTGCGCACCCATCCCGTTGTCGTCCTGCTCAGCTCTTGCAGGGCTCAGATTCGCCAAGCCAAGGGTTCAAATGCAAAGGGAAATCCAGGATGCAGGAGAGGATGCGTGCCCTGCCGCGGCAGGAAGGCCAGTGGCTCTCTGCGCCCTCTGGGCCACTCTAGCAGCAGCCCCAGTGCCAAGTGCGGGGCAAAGCACCCGGGCATCACCCAAGCCGCTCTCCCGCCGTCTTTCGGTTCTGCTCGAGCCCAGACAGGCAGCCCCAGCACAGGAGGGGCACGAGGCAAACGGCCTCCACGTACACCAGTGGGAAGGATGAACAACAGGAGGGGAGAACGGCCAGGCAGTTAGAAAGGGCGCCGCACACCCTGGCACCCAGGATTTACGCCCCGTCCTTCCCAGGGCGCTGGCAAAGACACTGCATCCTCATTTCCTAGAGCTGGGAAACGCTGACCTTGGCTAACGAAATCAGAAGATAGTCGCTCTTGTTTACCCTTGTGTTTTTACCTCCTTTTGCTAGCTCCAGCGCACGAAGGAAGCACGCAGATGTCTTAAAGCGCAATGCCTCCACCCAGGGTCGTTAAGACTTGATGATACCATCCCTCCTGAAAGCCCAGGGTTGACTGAAGAATGGAGATGATGAGCCTACAGCAGATACCAGCATTTCCCACCACGTTTTCCCAGTCTGCAAACCTCCACGACAACAGAAGCCACTTTCCTTGCCAGGGAGTCCTGCCAGGATTGCCCGATCCACATCCCAGTCTCTCCCAACCTCAGCAACTTTGGGGAACATGCCTGACCCAGGAGCTCACCCAGACAAAAACCTAAACCATATCCCTTTGATCTCAAGGAGAAAACGAAGTCTCGGAGGACTTTCCGACACAGCCCAGAGCGCCAGGTGATGGGGTGTGATGCCTCTCTGCGGTTCAATTCCCACATCCCTTATCCGCCCCAGACTGCTGGTTGCACTAGGCTGAGCGTGCTGGTGGGGACACATGCCATGTGTCATCGCTGAAGCGTTAGCCCCGTTTACACCCTTCCCAACACACTGGCAGCGACCGGGACTGCTGGCTTACTACCTTCTCTTGCTCTCCTGATCGTTCCCAAAAGCCTGGTCCTCCTCCTCCTCTTCCTCCACAGCCCTCCTCTTCCTGGTCTCCTTGATGGCATTCAGCACAGTCTCTTTTGCACATGGGTCTGGGCTGCTGATGGCCGGGTGGGCCACGGGTGAGATCAGCTGCTCCTGGCTGCAGGGCAAAGCAGAGCAAGGCGTTAGTTAGGCACATCGCCATCCCCAGGGGGCGAATCCCCCCACCCGGTGTCCCCGCTGCCCCAGGGAAGAGGGAAAAGGGCTCTTCCCTGCAGCCTCTCCAGAAGGTTTGGATCACACAACCCTTCCCACAAGGCAGCGATGCTCGGGGTGGGGATGGAGCGATGTGCTTCTCCCCGGGAGGCTGCTCCGGGCAGCACAGCCGGCTGAGAGCCAAGTAACCGGTTTCCCCCCTGTTCAGTCCCGTCAAGGCGAGGTTCCTGCGGCACTGCCCACGCTCGAGGCGAGGCCGAAGCAGGGCCCGGTCCCCACTCCCCTACTCACACTGGAGAGCGGGCCAGGCCAGCGGCCGGCCGGGCAATCCTCCCGGTGACGAGGCTGTGGTGTAGGAAGGCTCGGCGAGCCCAGGGCGTGCTTCTGGGCGAGCTGCCCTCCCAGCGAGCGGCGGACAGGACGACCGGCACGGCGCTGCGGGCCTGCGGCAG